CTGTTACGCTGTATAATTTTTCACTGACAAACCAGTGTGTGTGTGTGTGTGTGTGTGTGTGTGTGTGTGTGTGTGTGTGTGTGTGTGTGTACACCTTTGAAGGCCCAAGGGAGGAGCACTGCAGACACTGAAATGTCTCAATCTGTCCTGTAATCCTTTACTGCAGGACAGCATCCTCTGCCTGTCTGCTCTGCCCAGGTACAGTCACCATCTCTCAGTCTGATAAATATCTGATCTGGCTGTGATCCAACAAGAAGCCATGATGTAATCAGCACAAATTAACAACTACAAAATACTACAGCCTGTCAGTGTTCTCTGTTTTGTTGCTCCCCTTCGTGAAGCTAACTGAAGATAAGATCATCTTTGTGTTTTCAGCCCCTTTATTTGAAGTTCCACACATTACACAAGCCACTTTTATCCCCCATAAACCACAGGTGATATAATAATCTGGATTGTTTTGTGTAAAATTGTTACAATCCAAGTTGAAATGGGTGGATACTTTTGCAACTCACTGTGCTGTAGTGTCAGGAAAACAAGAACATGTTTACATATCATTAGCCTCATAGCACATACGCCCAAGTCATTTGTGACCAAATATGTCTTGGGTAATTATACTATGAGGCTAACGAAATGTAAAGTTTAGTCTGAGTTGATCCAAATGTTCTAAGATGTTCTTGTTGTTGGTCTGCAGATTGGAGCAACTGAACCTGTCCAGCACCGGACTGTCTGCCATCCGGTTTGAAGATGCTGCTCCAGGTTCAGTAACAAATCAGATAAAGCCTGCTCCACTGGTTCTTTTTCACTCTTCTCTGTTTTCTTTTCCCTTTTTTTTTTTGTATGTCACAAGGGCTGCACCCTTTGGAAAACCTGTATTGGTGTTTGCCCTGAACCATAATGCTGCAAGTTCAAATCCCTGCCTTGGCACATACTGTCATTGGGCCTCATGCAAGAACCGTTCGTATGAACAGATTTGTTCTTAAGTTGTGCGTACGAGTGATTTAGGAGAACTTATGGTATTCACCGATTTTCTCAAATTGTAAGACTTTTTTCAGATACGAACAAAATTCACGAGTGACCTGTCGTATATTTTACCAGCAGTCAGTCTGCTGTTATCCAGATGGATTTTCTTCACTTATAACTTTATATTTTGTTAGTTTGAAGATATTTTGAGTTGAAAATAAATCACTCTATGATTATGTTGACAGTAGGCTATTCTGTTTTAATTATAATTATAATT